TTCTCCTCTTCTTACGTATTTTTACATGTATTAGAATTGCTTCCGCCGAATGCATAATTTTTTATGCCAACAGAATATCTTATCTGAAAGCTGGTCTTCATTGCGGACACTTTTTGCCATTGTCTTGTACTTGTCGTCCCAGCAAAGCGAACCATGCCCACTTGTACTACTACAGTACTACTACTATTACTACTACGCATCTGGCTTTCTTAACCGTAACTTGCTGCATCAGAGAATTTTATTTTTTTATATAGGGTTTAGGGTACCCAAAATCAAACGCTCTACACCGTACTGCAAATTATATCTGGGAATGATGGATTATTTTTTAAGAATAAATGCGTCAAAAGAATTACACAGACCGACTGACTGACTGACTTTAATGGCATCAAGTGAAGCCATAAATTGTACTTATTTGCACATCTGCAAAGAGATTGAGATGAAGGGCATTTTATAAAACCCTTGAGCGGGCTGCGGAGTATGGTTAATTCTGCAAGTACTGACTGGAATCCGTAGTTGGCTGGAAAATTAAGTGGTAGTAGCATGCCGCTGTAGCAGAGATCCTGGAAATGCTGGTGGTAGGGACTTTAAGCGACGACGGAAAGGGACGCTCTTCCTATCCAAATTGCTATATCCTCCTAGAACTTTTGGGCATTTGATATCTATCATTTCTTTCCAAGAAGCAGTATCCATTTAAAAAAAAACTTAAAATTGACCGTACGTAGCCTTGAAAAGAAGTCAAGCATTATATGAAAAGATTCCTAATGCTACAATTATATAATGGAAGCACTAGTAACTAACCAGTGATTTTTCTGACTTGATTGATTGATATTCCAGCACAGGTTTCTAGCTATTGGAATGTCTTTTTCAAAGCGAATTGGTTTCCAAGGAAATATGCATATGGCCTGGTCTGGTCCCTTTGCTAGGAAATCATGAATGTATCATCGGTTAAAAAAGTGGTAACGAGGCGGCCGGTTATCCTCCCATCCGTCCAACTTGCTAGAAATTTGAGGCTCTCTTATTCTTCTTCGTACATGTATAATTTCTGAGTGCTTTCGGGCGCATCCAACAAAATAAAACCACCGCTTCAGGAGAGGAGATCAGGAATATGCCATGCCTCGCCAAGAGAGAGGCGCACTTGAAGATTAAGTTCACGGAGGCAGCTGGAAACTTCGGCTTTGTTTGGATTGCAATTTTTTTATAAAAAAATTACTTCATCGATTTGATATGTATAAGATAAAAAAAGTGATTAAAAAATATGTTTACGAAAAATACAGTAAATTTGTTTTTCAAAAAAATTGCAATCCAAACACACCTGAAATTGATTTGTCGAGCTCTCCAAATTAAGGTCCCTTCAGAGTAACTGGATCTTGAGATAACTGAAAGCATGCATGCCCATGACGATCAAACATGGAAATAAATCATCTTAGTCGACTCATCATAGCATAAAAATATACAATATATTTGATTTGATTTGATACAATGCCAAGTAAAAAAAAAAAAAGGATATATTTACGCAAAAAGGTAACAAATAATTATTACTATTTTATGATCGGTATCTTTACCGCCTAACCCGGAAAGTTCAGGGAATCACATAATGTCCTTTATTAGATATTTAGCCATCCAAAGAAAAGAATCAAACATCTTAGCCAACTTCATGCCTTATCCAAAGCAAAGAGGCCTCTGTTAAACACACACCGCCCAAACCGGGAAAAAAAAAAAAAAAAAGGGAGCAATTGAAACAAATTAAAGAAAAAAAAAAAAAGAAGAAACCGACCAACCAGCGAGGGAGGCTTTTTGAATTGCACCGCGGAGTCAGACTGCACTATATATAGACCCTATCCTGGCGCTGAAGTTACTCAACAGAAACTAAAAAATCTGTAATTGGCTGGGGAGGAAATGGAGTCCAACGACCGCGGCAAGCGCAAGGGGTTCGCCAAAGGGAAGCTGGTGATGATGTCATTCCGCAGAACCACATCCAAGCAGCAGCAGCATCCGGCCTCCGGCTCTACGACTACGACTAGTAGCAGCGGCAAGGTGAAGCCCAGTCAACAAGGCGGCGGCGGCAACCTACATCATCATCTGACCGGTCAAGCAAAGCAAAGGATCCTGCAGCCCTCCTCAAGTGACCGCGTTAACGTGAACCAAAGCCAAAGGCTAAGGTCAACGTCGAGGTCAACGTCTGATGCAGCCTCGTCCGTAGAGTTCATAGTGAACCAGGAAAATGTAACCCCGAGTCAGCCAAAGCAGCAGCGGGTTTCCATTTTGTTGCAGGAAACAGGCAGCTGCGACACTTATGCAAATGTTGACAGCTTCTACGCTACTGTTGCAGCGGATGAAAGTGTGGACCTCCAGGCGGCAACCTACATCTCCAGTGTGCGCGAGAGGTTTAGGGTATAGGCTCCAGCTTATGAATTCTCAACACCCTTTTCAGTAACAAATAGTTCACCCTCCTCTTTTACCTCAACAGTAGAATTTCCCATTTGTGGATTGATGTTTTTGTTTTCCCTCTTCCCTTCCCACTGCGCTGCGCTCCCCTTTTTTTTTTTTTAAAAAAAAAATCTTTTTACCTTAATTACTACTCCTGTCTTCAGAAATGTTTTTGCTCATGATTATTAATGTCACGTAATTATGGTTTCAGTTTATTATAGCAAATCCAAAATTAATCTTATTTTCAGAACCAAGCAGGATAATACGATCCCTGCAGGGCCAGAGGACAACAACAAGTGTGAAGAAAACTTCTTCTCAATCAATCAAAAACAACAAGTGGAAAACGTACGTGCTTATTTTTCATAAACGCGTAGAAAAAAAAGAAAAGAAAACGCTCTTTATTAGCAATTCACATTTCATAAGATGGGTTTTGAATTCAATAAATTATATGTTTGATGAATAGTTTGAACAAAAATGAAAACATTCACAAAGATAGCATGTATAATTAAATGAAAGCCGGAGGAGAGAGCATCGATCTCAGATTGCAGTTTTTTGGTCACTAATTGTTTTCAGTACACAAAATGAGGGTCCCATGCATCATCATGCATGAACGTGAAAGCAACGGAATAGCGTGTTTAATTCATGATTAGGAAGGTACAAGTCAGTCTAGAAGATGACAGGTGGTGAAATTTGAGGCTTCACCGAGAAGTAGGGCATCGGCATAAAATTTTTTTTTTTTTTAAAAAAAAAAACTTTAGGATTTCTTTTCGGAACGCTTAAAAAAAGATGAAACTCCAATGAAAGGGGTGCATGTCAGCATATTTCTGCTGCGGGCTGCAAACGAGGCGAGCCGAGTCGAGTTTTGAGCTAATCGAGCCGAGTCTCGACTAAATTTTACTAAACTCGAGCTCGAGCTCGAGCTCGACGAGCCGGCAAATTTCGAGCTCGAGCTCGACTCGAATCAAGTCGAGCCAAACTCGAGCTCGAGCTCGAGCTCGAAAAAAATAAAAAATAATTATTTTATTTTAAAAAAAATAAATAAAATAATATTTTTTCTTAATAAATAATAAAATATTAAGGATATATACGTAATTTTACTATAAAAATAAAAAATAAAAAAATATATATAATATACGTAATTTTATTATTAAATAAAAATAAAAATATAAAAAATATATATATATACCCAAGCTCGCGAGCCGGCTCGCGAGCTAACGAGCTTAATATTCTGAGCTCGAGCTCGAGCTCGAGTTCGACTCGAGCCGGCTCGAGCTCGACTCGAGCTCGATTAATAACGGGCTCGAGTCGAGTTTGACTCGAGCCGCTCGCGAGCCGCTCGCAAGCGGCTCGATTCATTTGCAGCCCTATGCATCACGAAGCAAAACGACATCGTCTATTCATAACACAGAACCCCCAGACTCCACTTTTTCTTGTCGAAATCCTTTGAAGAATTCATGCTACCTATGTTGCCATGATCATCTATATCCATAATCATGTTCTATTTTAGCTCACCAGATATTCCAGATTCTTCTATCCGTATCCCTATTTGAAAATGAAAATATCGCAGCGTTACAGAGAAATATCCACATGTGGAATTTCTTTTCATAATTTAGAGTGTTTCAAAAGAAGAAGATGAACAAGTTGAAGAGTTATGTGCAACATGATCAGTTTTGCTCCAAACTTTGTTTACATGTATATTACTCTTAGAAAATTTCTATACTAAATGACATATGCGACAGAAACAAATCTGGTTCACTCCTTGATTTTAGGAATTTTCATTTTTGTGATTATCATTTAAAAATGTCATAATTTTCAAATCATTTAAATTCCATGTCGTTAGTTAACTTAATATAGTTGGTTTTTTAACCAAATTGTGGCTTGATTTTTTTGTTTGGTTGATTTTTGCCCTTAATTCTGATACAATTAACACCCAAATATTGATGGAAGCCCTTAAACTACTTTTTTGGGGGAAGAGCTTTTTTTATTTTATATAATTGTTCAAGAGTTCATTTGTGATAATTTATAATTAATGGGCCAAAATCGTGCAAAGTGAATAGTTTAAGTTACCTCTTTTAAAAATGTGACTTGCTATAAGGCTTGGACACTGGGTTATCAATTTGGGTTTGAGACATGAGTAGCCCATATTCACGGGCCGTGGTGGGTTGGGGCGACTCAAATAAAGAACGAAAATCAAATGGGGGAAAGTAATAAGATATGGAGATGCGGGTATCGAACCCGCGTACTCTCGCATGCAAAGCGAGCGCTCTACCATGTGAGCTACATCCCCGTGTCGATGTGATCTATAAAGATTGCCGTACCAAAAATGCAGGCACAAACAACGAGGAGCATTGCTGACCATCTGGTAGACAAGATAGGGCCACCCACACGTCGTCTGGGATTAATCCAATCTTTAGATTGGCATTGACCGCTCGGATAGGGAGAGCCTCGATCAGTCGATCCACACCTCTTACCGTTTTCGTCACACATGGTCAAAAATCTTCTGAGTTTCTTCCCCGAAAAAGAATAATGAAAAAGGAAAGAAAAGATCTGGTGATTCTGGATAAAGGAACAGCTTGTCGCCGAATGTAGTGGATTGGATTGGATAGTAGAGGAAGAGAAATCATAAATAGAAGACACAAATACTGCGCCGCTATATATATATTTTTTTCAGTGGATAAGATTCAGTATATCAGTGTGGATTCCCTATAAATATAATAAGTACTTAGTAGAGGCCAATTGCCAAATCGATTGCCGGGTTGACATATACCATGCACCAATGCTTTCACAAGTAATTCCAAACCAGTTCTTATCCGCTTCCACCAAAAACTGTCAATCTCCACCAAGTCTCCACCCACCAAAACTGGCAATCATCCTGCTCCTTCATGTTAGTAGTTATATCCAGTCACTCACATGTGTTGCAGTTGGACTAACAGTGGTAGACAGACGCAGACGAAAGTGTACTTCTTCTTGCTGCTGCTGTTCTAAAGTCTAAACTAGCACAAACAAACTTAAGAGCGTACAGCCTTGCTCAAAAGTAGGTAGGAATCGAGCTTGAGACTTTTTGAGAATCAAAAATTTTGGGAGAATGAGATCAGGAGGTGAAGTGGAAGAGCAAGACGAGCAAAGCAGAGTTCTGTACGAGCTGTGCGCCATGATCTTCCACGTCCTCCAAACCCCACCGCTTCCCATCTCCTCCTTCCCGGGAATCGTGCGCCCCGCCGTCTCCTCCCGCACTTTCCTGGCTTCCCCGGCAGCCTTCGCCTCCCTTTTTCTCGGGATATCTGCGGCTCTGATGCTGTTTGGGTGCGTGACTTTCGTCTTCGGCTTATGCTTGATGCCTGTGGTCATCGCACTGGTTATGCTCTTCCACTTTGTGGGCATGCTTTACAACTTATCTGAACTGGGCCGGACCATCCTGTGGCCGGACTGCTCAACCACACCTCCTGTCCCAGGTCCCTTCCTTCTCCTCCTTGATTGATTTCCTTCCTGTTTTTTTTTTCTTTCTTTCTTTTTAATAAACCGTGCAATGGCTGTTAGGTGATTTGTTGGGTTGGAACTTGGAAGACGTGCTGCTCCGAGGTTGCTTTTTAGACAGTGAATTATGAATCGTGGGTATTAGAGGAAATCTCTCGGTGGTGGTGGTGGTAACTGGTAATAAGACGCCAATTCCAGCTCTGCCTTCTCTTTGCGCGGCCCTTTTCAGTTTCAGTACGCTAATTTGAATGACTGACGCAAATATGCGCAGCAGCCAAATGTTCAACTCTGGAATGGTTCATTCTCCAAGATTACATTTAGGGAAGTGTGTTAAAACTGGTTCAAGATTCTCGATAATTCATACGTCGTCGTGTTTTTGTTCCTTTAAGTTGTCGAATTTGCTTGTACTAATTAGTAGTACTAGTATTCGTTTATATGGCTTTTGGTAAAGCGGATATCGTGTCTGCCTGCAGCATGCATGTAGATTTTTGTGATGCTGAGCTATCTGGAGGACACAGGAGGAGGAACTTTAAAAAAAAAAAAAAAAAAAAAAATTTGTGTTTATTTGTTTGCTTGAACGAGTTGCGGAAGCTGGAAGAATGGCACATGCTCCACATGCACACACTCTGAGAGTTGCGTTTCTACTTCTTTAGACGGCCGCCGGACGGCTGTCCCAACACTCTTTAGGCCCACCCTGTAATGGACTGAACTTTCTAGGAGGTTGTCATGCTCTTCTGTCCATCTTTCCGATTCATTGAAAGCCCAAATTCTATTCTCCTGGATTAGTCCTGTGCTATTTAGCCAAAGGTTACACTAACAATGGGTTCAGCCCGCCGTGCAATACATTCGGGTCATCGATCGACGAATCCTCCGTAGGTCAGCCCAATGGTTGATATTGGTGATTTGTGTAGCATCTACGGTTTACACGGACCATGCTCCAGTATTGTCCCAGAAGTAGTTATCAGGTCCCTTTTAACCGTGGCAAGGATAAATTGAAAGAAATTTAGTTTAGTTCTATGGTTTGGAAAAAGAAAAAAAGCCATCATATCATTTGCCTCCAAGCCAAAGCATGCAGCATTGCGGCCGGACGTCTTTAATTTAGTTCGGGTCTTCTAGTCTTTGGGGTTGGTCTCTTCAAAAAAAAGTCTTTGGGATAGTGCTTAGTAGTAGCACTTGTAACTTTTAGTAGCTGACTAAAATTCTTGGGGATTGTTGCTTCTGCTTTCCTCCTGCCTGCACAAGATTAAATCAGCTGGTAAAGGTACTCTTTTAACAAAAAAGAAAAAAAAAAAAATTCTATGAACTCTACGCGATGTAGAACGTTCTAGGATCTTAATGCAGTTAGCTTTTTTCCCAAAAAAAAAAAAGAAAAAAAAAGAAAAAGATGAATGAAAGAAACTTCACTTAGAAACGAAACCCCAATCTTCTTTCTTCTGCCTTTTAATGTTTACGTACATGCACCATCCACCAGCTCTTTTTGCCCAAATATTATTATTATTATCATCATCATGTATATAAATGTGTGTCATTTGATTTGAGACTCCCACCTTCATGAATCATCCACAAAAAATAAAAAGACCCCTCGTATTTTTTTCAATTATTGGAAGCCAAAAAGTTACCTAAGCCCCTTCTCCAGCATATAAAGCAAATCCCACTATCACAACATTCCTTTTCTTTCTCTATTAAACCTACTTTCTCTTTCCATCCGTCCCAAGTTTAGTATAGCATCCCCCTCATACTTCCACGCTAAGAAATTTAGCACCAAAACTCTCATTCTTTTGCCTCTACATATTCGCCAATAAACCCTTCATCATCGGAGGGAAACACGCGGATCCAATTTAGACACCAAAAAGACAAAAAAAACGCCAGACGCCATCCTTAAGCTGCTCGCTTCCCCAGCAAAAAAAAACAAGAAGAAGAAGAAGAAGAAGAATCAGAGAGAGACTTGTAGATAAATGAGTACAGATTGGGGACCAGTTGTGGTTGCGGTGGCGATGTTCATCCTCTTGTCGCCTGGGTTGCTCTTCCAGCTGCCTGCAAGAACGAGGATTATGGAGTTTGGGAACATGTACACTAGTGGGATTTCCATTCTGGTTCATGCTGTCCTGTATTTCTGTATATACACCATCTTGATTGTGGCAATTGGTGTTCACATAAGAGCTGGTTGATCACCAACATTCCCACCTCCACGTACGGAAATTATTACTCGATCGACACTTCTTCTTTAACTTTTTGTAGTAGACTAGTATTTCTTTTTTCCCATAGCATGCATGATCAATAATTTCTCTTTCCATCACTTTCTGCCGGTCACCACCCTTTCTCTTTATGGAAGTGCTCGCTCCCGTATGTGTGTATGTATCGAATCCCAGGAGTTCAAAATGCCGTGCGTTTGATTTTATACGCCCAGATTATACTTTTATAGTAGCACTACTTAATTATCAAGAAGGTCTTGTATCAATATTCAAAGGTGCTAGCAACTCTTCATTTGTCACAAGTCTGATAAATCAAATAAAATGTGCCGGATACTTGTAAGATTGGGATAAGAGGTTTCCGATGGTTGCATTGGCCTCTCCTCCTGTCGTTTCAAAAATTAATTGAACAAAAATTAATTGTCTCAATATATACTTGCATCGAGCCTGGTGAAATAATTTGGCAACTATGTAGACTTAATCGATTAAATCAATGATTAACTGAATAAACAGAATTAATCACAATTTAGAGCTAAAAAAATTGCTAATTTGCCACGAGAAAAGGGTGCTAATTTCTAGATAATCGTAGTTTAGAGCCAAAAGAATTTCTAACTTGCGATTGCAACTCCAATATTTGTTTTCTAAGGCTTGAAGGGGCCATAATTTATTATTCTAGTTCGTGGTTGAAACTAGTTTTCTCCCATATATATTTTTGGTGATTTCATCCCAATTCTTAAAATCTAAGCTCTCTAAATTATACTCGTCTCCAATTGTTTGTTTCTGAGGTTATATAAGTATTGGCTAAAAGTAGCTCTCGTTACAAAGAGCCCATGCAAATAGTTGCAGAGGTTTGACATCGATGCTTTGCATTTTCCAGCATTTGCACTTCCAACTCCTAAATATTGACTTTGTTTAAATAACAATTTATGCTTTTGTACTAGGTCAACTAACTAACGTAACACATATATTGAATCAAATTTAGGGGCAATTCTAACTAATGTAACTAACAATCAATTTATGCTTTTGTACTAGATTAACAATAATATCTATCTAGGGGCCATTCTTGAATCATAATAGTAGTATTATTTGAATCCAATTTTTTATTGTTTGTTTTTTATTTTTTGAATTGAGCTTGACTTGTTACAAACAAACCTGTTTTAGAGGAAGAGAGAGAGAGAGAGAGAGAGGCTAGTGCATTTTGGGTCGAAGGAAACAAATTTAAGTGAAGGAACCTCGAAATGAATAGGCCGTTTTGTTCCTTATTAAGAGAGTTCTACTACTATCCCTTGGCAAAGCTCGACAGAAGAAAAAGAAGTCTCTGGGCCTTTGGGTCCATGGACATTCTTGTTCGACAGGAGTTTCCAACAAACCGACAATGTTTTTGGCAAAAGGTTGGCCAATTCACCAACAAGGTCCTGACCCCTCGAGTTTCTTCTGCTACTGTATAGGAGAAAGACGAGAATATTTCTCTTCCTGTCCGTCGTGTTCCGCTACGGAAACCTGGAATGCATATTCTTATCTTATGTATGGATTTGATCAAGTTGAAATCAAGTATTAAGGTGGTAATTAACGTCGAATATGCGATATTCTCAGTGATAAGAGCCTATCTTGATCCTTTCTGCTTTTGTTTTTTGTTCTTTTACTTTTGGTGGTGAATAACTACACTAATATGGCGGATGAGGAGAGGTGGCTAATGAGGTTGAGAACACCAGGCCAAATACATCATCATGAGAGCTGAAATTCAATTGGTTCGCTCAAAAACCCAACGATTGGAAAACAATTTTATAAAAGGAAAAAAAAAACTGAAAAATTTGAGTAGTACATTAAAAGACTTGTAAATTACATATTCAAAATTGATGGAAAAAGCCAGAGCAACAACGGAAGTGAGAGCCAGCTAGTGGTAACTAATAGCAGAGAGAGAGAGAGAGAGAGGGCAGCTAAACGTTTCAAGATAAACAGACCACTACTACTACTAGCAGTAAGGTAATACCAAATGATATTTCAATCAAAGAGCAGAGAGCTACTACATTGCTGTCCGGTACGGGATCAGATCTCCGATTAACATAGCATAAGATATTATTGAGATCTAGATCTGGGCTTCGGAGTTTTTTTTTCCTTTCTTTTTGGTAGATTCTAGTTTAGTAGCGCGTAGTGACCTGAGAACAACAGACAGAAGGTGTAGGTGGGATGGGGATGATGATGATGATGATGGCGGCGGCAGCGATGAGAGCGAAGCAGGAGCTAGCCGGTGTAGATGTGAACGTGGACGGCGAGGATGAGGATAGCATAAAGTGCAAAGAAGATGAGAGTGTGAACGGCGATAGACTTGCCGTTGGTCTTCATGCTCCCGAACTCAAGATTTTTGTTGTTGCCCGGGAACTGAAACAACAAGCCCGGTTGCAGCAGTACAAACAGAACCACCCCGATTAGCACCGCCCCCAGTCAGCCATTCCTCCACCCGGCCCGCCGCTACTAGTACTGCTTCTCCTGATGGATTGTATGTGCTTATCTTTTGTTTTGTACTATTTCCCTCCCCCTCGTTAATTTGGCAGTGCGTGACCTAAAACTAAAAGTGGTGGAGAATACTTCAGCCAGGCAAAGGCTCAGGCTCCGAAGAAGAGAAATGGAAGAGGAGGAATCAGACTAGTCAACGGTCTCTAGAGTCCAGACGCTCTTGCTAGGACAAGGGGCCCGAACAGTTATTACTACGTGATATAGATAGTACTATATGGTAAAGATAGGGACAGTTGGGACTTTGGAAGCATATTTTTTTTCAAGATTAATCTTTATTATACTGATACTGATACTGTACGGTAAATGAATGATAATTATATAAAATTTAATTTTTACACATATATCATGAATTTAACGGTGATAATATATTATCATCGAATATGTTCAATGTAAACATTTCTTTTTTTTTTCTTTATATTTTCTTGGCTTAAATACATGTTGCTAGCTTTTTTTTTTTTTCTTTCTTCTTGTTGTTATCCTCGTTGTTGTTTAAATTTATTTCCTACTATGAAATACAAATTTTCATGCTAATGTACTGAAGAATATATTGTGAAAAAAAAATTAATTATCATGAAAACTTAAAAAGTATATAATTGTTATAAGCAACTCCTTTTATTAACAAATTCTTGTTATGCATTAATTGTTAATAGAAATAATTAGTATTTAGTATAGACATTTTACTTCTATTTACATACATCTGCTCAGTAGTCAAGGGGGGTAATTTATGAGTGGTATGAATACAGGGGATAATTTGCTCTTTCTTTTTTTATTAAAAAAAAAACAAATTCCTATTGCATATTAGATATTCGAAATTAGGAGGAGAAGAATTTGCCATACAATTCTATCCCTCTTTTTTCCAGTAATGGTAACTTCCATACAGTAGTAGAAAAGGGATTACCGGAGACCGTATTGTGTGTGACACGGACATAAAGAGGACACGCAGAGATAGCATCACTTGCAAATTTGAATCAAATCAAAGCATATATTCCATGCTTGGCTTGGCTTATTTAACATTCAAAATGCTGCCCGCCCTTTGGTTTTGATTTATTAAAAAACCTTTTCCACCCAACTAAAATATAGTAGTACTTCAATCATGTGTACCTGGTTTCCCTCCCTCGCTCCCCACCAGATTCCCAGATTGACCTGGTTGATACTTGACTAACACCAGTTTTTATTTTTTTTTTTTTTTTTTTTTTTTTTTTTTGCGCAGTAGGGTATCTGGGCCCATGGACTGGTAATACCGTACGGCCCAACTAATCCCTACTGCGGGCTGGGAGCGGCTCGCCCCAAGCGTCACCAGCCTCGGTAATGCCGGGATTCGACCCCTGGACGTGGCTCTCCCCCAACTGGGACTACAACCACGGAGCCGAACCCGGAAGGGCACTAACACCAGTTTTTATATTGAGTAGTTTTTATATTTTTCCTGTTTATTTAATTTTCCTATTATTAGTTATAATTGTGACCTAATTCTAGATAGAATCCAGCCAACGGACCATGGGCAGGAACGGTTGCAGGTGCAACTGTTTCTAGCAGTTATGTGCATTTTACACACGGTGTAATTTTGCTTGCATATGGTGTAACTTACTTTCAATAACGTGTAACTTTACAACAAAATTTTGTGAGTCCCACACATATTGTCAAAATCGAGATATAATATGAAATCTGGACCGTACAAATTTTTTTAGCAGATTCCATTCACGGATTCAGAATAGAGAAACACCTACACAGATTCGCACATAGCTGGCTTGGATCCATTTGCGGATGGTCATGGCAACCACAGTCCAAGTGTTATTCATTTTAGAGTTTTCTGTGTAATTTTATTTCCTTTTTAGTTTAGACTACTTGTAGCTTACATCTCTAGAGTCTTTATTTTACAGACTTCGACGCATTTTGTCAAATTGAACATGGTTGCGTTGGATTATTCATGTTCTCGAGAGTTCTCAAGTAGTATTAATATTCTTGTTGAATCTTGTGTAGGTTCTTGTTAAGTCATGATTTCAATTGTCTCTAGTAGGAGAAAAGAAGAAATGTAGATTGTCCGAGGCACTTGATAGTCATCGGTATAGAAGTCATCATACTTTTTTTTTTTTTTTGGAATAATTCATAGAAAAAAACACAAAATTTTTTTTTTTTTACCCATTAGCCAAAGGGAGCAAAGCGTAGAAAAAATAAATTCAGGGGTCAAGTGCAAATTGACCTAACCAGCGAGGCTAGTGTAATTAAATCAAAGGTAACTCTCTCTATTGACTACTAGTCTATTATACAATGGCTCTGTTTGCTGCAATTTCCAGGAGGTTCCAAGTGATATTCATTGGTATCTATTTGGGTGCAAAAGAAATACACGTAAATCACGCCTTTGTGTCTGGAAAACTTTTTGATGCCCGATTAAAGTAAAATTGACTGCAAATGAAATGATCCTAGCTCAAGCTGCCGTATTAACCTCATCATCTAAAGTTCTAAACATATTGGAATTGACATCATTCCAACAGCAGATGAAAGCCATTCTCTTGGTCACTTGTCAAACTGTAGCCATTCCCTTGGAATTTGTCTCTTGATCATTAGAACCACTTGTCTCTTCATTACCTGCCCTCAACAACCAGAAATGATTGCCATTTAGACTAATAAATGGATGGTAATGCTACAAGATAAGCACATAAACAAGAACCCCAGTAAAGTGGGTGGACCACTAATAATTATCACCTGGGATTAGTCGCTAATCAGATGGTTAGCTTTCTATCCCCCCGCCGGTTTCCCCCCGGGGGGGGGGTGGTGGTGGTGGAAAAGAAAGAGTGACACGTCGGTGTGACAATGAGGGACAATTAACTGGCCACCGCACGCGTATTCGGGGAGTGGAATGGTATTTAGAGCAATTTTGTATTGCGTCTGCTATACTTCATATAATCGAAGCCCAAAAACACAATTTATATAATACTCCCAAGCACCATTCCCTTTGCTAGTGAGCCTTGTCCCCTTGTTCTCATCAAAAAAAAAAACCGCCAATGATGCTTTCCCTTATCCAATGCCAGAATAGATGGAGGAAAAAGTTACATACTTACATTTAAAGGGGGAGGCAAAAAAAGAGAGAAACAATGGTCGATGACTAGTTTTTTTTTTTTATTTATATATATATAAATGCTAGAAGTATAACTTTATGGGATTCTTATTCCCTCCAAAGAATTTCAATTCTCAGAATTATTTGGCATCGAGTGCCCCCTTTTCATATGCTTCATCCAATCCATATTCCATAGACGCTTTTCTTCCTCCTCCTTATAGTTTCACTTGTTGGAAGGTTGACCGGCCGAGAGGGCAACTGACCGAGAGTCTACTCTAGGAAGGCATTAAGATGAACAACTGGGCTGCTCCTGTTATAGCTGCCGCACTATTTGTATTTCTGTCGCCGGGATTGCTCTTTCAGCTTCCTGGGAAGCATCGGCCGGTTGATTTCTTGAACATGAAGACTAGCGTGGTCTCCATACTGTTGCACGCTGTTATTTATGGTTTGCTTCTTATCTTGTTCCTCGTTGTTCTCAACGTGCACGTAGATGTATAGGCTGCATAGCAGGCCAAATCACAGTAGTATGAATGTTATGTAACTAACCCCTTCCCCAACCCCCCTTCCTCCTCCTTCAAAAAGCAGGAAGCTGTTGGAAACTGAAACTATAAGGTTCCGCTCCGTCTGTTGTGCTACCTTTGTTGCATCCATATGCAATATGTTCGTATTCTGAGTAGGGATGTATTGATTTGCCACGCTCTTCCATTAATTTTAGCTGTCGGGAATAACTTATGCTGAGATGCCATTCGTGAATCTGGCTGCAATCAATCAAGTCTTTTGGTATCCAGCGGTTAATTTCCATTTCTTCTAGGGAAATTAAAGGGAAAGTGCTTTGAATAATATCCGGCAACATACAAAGATAAAACTATTGATGGGGCTTTCTGTGTGACCGCTGTAACCATGGTTCAAAGTCGCGATCCGGACCATTCCACATCGATCTAGACATCTCGGTAACAGTTTCTGCGAGACGCGAATTTTTGAAATATTTAATATTCTAAAATTGTAAAAAAATATGATAAACAAAAATAATTAAAAAATAATAAAATTTCGAATTGACTCGATGTGATTCGGTGTAACTCGACTGTTTCAATCCTTCACGGTGACGTCTCGACGAGTCAAAATATCTCGAAATCGTATCACTCCAATATCGTATTGGAAAAGTCCAAAACAGTGACGACTCGGCCGAGTCGTCTTGACGTTAAACCATCGCTATACCCTTCTTTTATCTGCTTAAAAACATGTTAGTATGGTAAGGTTTCAACTGTAAGGTTTCATGGGGGCTCAAACAAGTTGTCTTTCAGGATGTACACCATATAGTTTCTCAATAAAATAGCCCGGGTAGCACAGATTTGCTTTCGTGTTTGCCCCAATTAACTGCTCTCAGGCTCAGCCCCGGTAGCACAGACGCATTCCCGCACCAATTCTGCCCTGATCTGTGTTGTTTACTCGATCCAAGGATTCCCCAGAATTAGGGAGCTTGTTTTAAAAGCAAAAGATTAGAAATAGGAAGCCTGCACAGAAGTTGCCATTGGACCGACCTTCTGATATCAGAAATTTTTTTTGGTTTAAGAAAAGGTACCTACTCGGGGAGATAGTAGTATAAACTATAAAGTTTGTTTGCGGATGAGCTAAAAAGACATTATTATTAATTCGAAACTACCTACAAGGCTGCAACGAAGGGGACGTTTAGTTGTAAAAGAGAGAAGCCCAATTAGTTCTTGTTCAGGCTTCAACATTATTGGAAACGTAATTAAGCTTGGGAGATGGGTTAAGAATTAGAAACCACCAACGATTGGCATTTCCCCTCTTCTTAGCTAAATGTTCGTCTGATTTCGATTTTGCTCCATAGCAAACAAGCGCTTATGAATATGAATCAAGATTTTCGTCCATAGAAGAAGCAGTGGAACATCGACTTCCAAGTCCGCCAATACAAAATTGTTCCAAAATCCTTCAAGAAACTCAACGCGAAAGATTCACCTGATTTCCACAAGATTATCAATGTCGATGAATATGTCCAAACATGATGAATCGATAATCAATCAACTTTAGGATTGGCAAGAGACCAGAAATTTATAAAAATAAAATAAATAAATAAAGAGGGAGCTGCACAGGTCGTATACAGCATGCATAAAATTTCTCATTCAAATCCGAGTTAGAAAATAAACGGCATTTGTGATATAAACTGGAACCCACATCTTACAAACTGAATACACCTACACCCCAAAATAAAAAATAAAAAAAATAAAAATAATAATACAAATGAGGGAGTATCTCAGTAAGATTAAGATTGACGAACCAAATAGGAAGATTAAGATTGACGAACCAAATAGGCAAAATTGCAAATCAACGGGGCGGGGCAGCATCTAGGAACCCATGTAGACGTGGAAGCCAATTGCTAACAAGAGGATGCAAATGAGAGCAAAGTAGAGAAGGGAGTGGACCAGTATAGAGGCCCGCTGGTCTGAAAGTTGCTGAACTCAACAAATCGGCTATGACCCGGTATCTGAATTAGCAGACCCGGGGTTAACAGGATAAAAAGAACCACTGCTACGAATACTGGTCCCCAGTCTGTCATCTCTTTATTCCCCTTTCACGGGAGGGAGGGGCACCCAATTTCTCCTCTCCTCCTGCTGTTTGTGGATCTCTATGAAATGTTTCTCCAGACGCACGCAGGAAAACGGTGGGTTTACGGTGGAAAAGTCGAAGTTATATATAAGCTCTGGCTTTTTGGTTGGGAGACAGACAAGAAAGGGATGAGAAAAGAAGGAGAGCATTAGCTAAAGCCTAAAGCTAAGTTGAGTAAATGAAGGCATTCTGATTCACATTTCACGCCCTCCACACTCGAATGAATGAATAATTGTTGCTTACAGCTTCTTCCTTTTGGCACATGACGCCCAACCCCTACGTATTCTCTGAAATACTCAAAGCCGGTCAGCATAAAAGGCCCAAGGGGAAAGCCCATTTTTTACTAGCTCTATCAAGTCCCTTCCTTCCGTTATTCTCCAGCTTTTGAAACCGAAATACATATTCTTTTTGTATGGTCTTGATTTTCTGTTTTGGCACAGTCCAAGAAAAATTAGTTAATTTTATTAAAAAATAAATCTAACTCACTGTTTCCTTAAAATAACTTCACATTAATATTAGGAGCATAACTAATCATTATATTAGACAATAGACTACAATTTGAGATGCAAGAAATACGGCCCTAAAATGAGACCCTAATGATCTTCTCAGGACTGTCTGTAAAACAAGACTATCAAACAAGTAATACAGCCCTAATGCATTGCTAATCGCTTTATGTTTCTGGTGTACGGCCGTCCCTTGATACCTTCCTAAAAAACTCATGCTCGGCCTACTCAATCATATAATTCACGGGGCAAGGATAGCTTTTGAGATTCATGCCGCTGAAAACAGCAAAGGAGCATCGAGGAATAAACATGCGTGCCCCTGAACCAGCAAAAGCTCTTGCGTAAACACAACCATTTAGCTGGGGTGCGTTGGGGTGTTCAACTACTTTCTTTTTCTCCAACATCAAACACGACGCATTTAATAGATTCTTATGATAAAATCTCAAATCCCAAAATAGCTCCCATCTTCAGCAAGCCTGAAAACTGACATCCCAGTTTCACATATCAGAAGGCGGCGAAAGGTTAGCAACGCTGGAAATCAAACTTCGCAATATATCAATTCTGTCTCATTCAGGCCACAAGGTTCCTGAGCTTCCGGCTGCTTGACCCGATCCCACACAAACTAAATGGACTGCTTGTTCCCCAGTCATTTCTTTAAACAAAGGAGTAGCGGATTTTTGTTAAGGATGACAAGTAAAAGACAGAATTAGAAAGAGACAGAGAGTCATTTGACAAGGCATAGAACATGTATGAATCCAACTTTCCGATATTTCAAACTTTACAAGGACATACCCAATTCAGCCCACTGGTTTTCAAGAATGCCCCAGAGGGCTATTAGGCCATTTCATTCAATCAAAACCAAGAAAAAGTCTGATACGTAACATCTTTATAACGATTGAGGAACAAATTATGCATAAAAGTAAAAGAAGAAATCAGAGAGAGAGAGAGAGCGAAAGAGAGAGCGCGAGAGAGGTAATATTAAACCATTATCTCTCAACCTCCAAAAGACGAACTTTATACCAGCTCTTAGCAATCCCGCACAACTCAATCAACATGACACTCCATGCATGAGCTCCGATTTTAGCCCATCACTATTTTATGCATAGTTCAAGCGGAAAATGTCGTTCAATACATAAAAGCTTCCTTGTGGAGTTGGCATCAAATGGAACATCTGCGCACAAGAAGAAGACATTTAAAAAACAAGAGTAATGTCAAACTAAAAGCCGGTACTACTTGATAAGTCATTGAAATTTATCAACAGAAACAGAATTCAAAAGCACAGTCAACCATATATGGCTCATAAAGGAGAAACTTCATAGAAGGATCTTAAGGCCATTCACAGAATTGCTAGCTTCCAGTAGAATAAAATCATCAAATGTTACTAGCTTACCTGGTGCAGAAACATCTAGGATAACAATGCAAAGTATAAATAGCATCTATAATCAAATAAAGGGGAATCAACTTTTAAGTGATAGGCAACAACAAAGTATTCAGCGACAAGGCCAGCCTGAAAAGCAAACAACACAATAATAGTAACATGGCAAAAAGAGGTGATCAAAATTTTGGATATAAATTCATGAAAATTACCTTTTTTATGAGCAAGCGACATCATGTTGATATACAAAGTTTATTTGGAAAATGACCAACAAAGATGAGTAAGCCGCATACATCACAAAGACTTGAAGACCCAGTGATGCCACCTGATCAACATACAACCTCACTACAACTACTTCTTGACTTGATCAATTTCTTTGGTGGTAATCTCGACACAAGCATGGAGCTTGGTCTTGTTCAATCACTGCAGAAGGATGATTAGTCTGATAAAAATCATGACCACTCAAGATACAGTTATGAGGAGCTCCTCATCAGGGAACTGTAGTTTAAGAGGGTTTAAGAAGCCTCGCGTCTGGGTAACACCAAAACAAGGTCTTTGGATGGGGGCCTTTAGCTGTTTCTCAGAAGCAAAAATCTAGGTTGAATTTTTCGTGTTGTGCAGGCCTTAAAGCATTGATCAATAACCTTGCCCTTTGTAACATTCCAGACGTCCATCTTAGTTGATGACTATTTGCTTCTGACAATATATTGAAATCTAAAACATGCTGGACCAGTATACAAAACCTACTCATCCAGCAATCCCTCGAGGTGGCAACAACAGCTAGAGAGAATCCATTTAGTCTTAATAATTAACTGAAGATCAGGTGAACAAATGCAAACAACAAATCTTCACCAGATCAACACCCCATCCTTGACTGAGCATGGCATTTGGCCCCCAACTTTGTGTATCCAATGCTTCTCCAAATTACAATTTACAATGTAGCCAGGTTTAACGTCCTCAGGACAAATGTCGCAAATGCAAAGCACATGTAAAAACAGCAAAACAGAGTGAAAAATACTCAACCATGGACAATAAACAGAAGTCAGTCTCTAGGTCTAACGAAAACAAGGCAAGTGACCAGTTTCTCATTCTCTTTGGCGATCCCGCTAAAGCCCATAACGGATTCTCAATAAGCATAACAAAATCAGAGAGAAGAACCATCAACCATGGGATCCCCCCCCCCCCAAAAAAAAAAAGCATAGTCAATCAAATTAGAGTCCAATTGAAGCAACTAACCAAACCCACTAAAATATCCATAAATTGCAAAGGACATGTAAAACCCAAATATCCACAGCAACCATACTCTAAACACCGAAAGCATGAATTAAGCTCCAATCTACCAGTTCGCAAAGGAAGGGTAGGCGATGGAAGGAAGGAATACCTGACTAAACTTAAGGGCGTGAGATTCGCCAACGAGTTGGAGATTGCCGCTGACGAAGACGAGCATACCGCCGGCGGGGCCAGAGGGTTGGCAATCAACGGTGGAGATCTGGTGGTGGCACTGCTGGAAGGGGAGGCTAGTAAGCTTGGCAACGATGTTGGCGGAGCCCTGGATCTTCTGGCCCTCGAAAGTCAACATGGAAGCGTCCTGGTAAAGGGTTGAAAGCCCGGCCCGATTCGCGTCGAAGGTGGAGTAGTAGTGCTCCACGAATGCCTTGGCCAACGCGTCTGGATCCATTTCCGATTCTGCCTTTCTTCTTTCTCCCCTTCTCTCTGTCTCTCTCAAGCTCTCGGGTACCCAAATTGCAAGCAAAGCAAGTCAAAACTGTTCAATGCCCTGTTTTTTACGACGTCCTTTTTATCATTTTTGTTCGGCCGGTGCTTGTCGCTTCCCCACTTCTTTATTTGGTTTTTTTTTTTTTTTGGGGGATCGCTGAAATAATACGCTGGTAGGAGCCCTGGGTACGTAATTATTTTGGGCCCTCAAAAAGTAAAAAGGTAAACGAAAATCATACAAATAAATTGCCTCCCACGGTAACTTTTACATTCCTCACATAATAAATGATGACTTTTCATTACTCACACATTTTTTTTTTTTTGGTAATAAAAGGGACTATATATTAAAACAAACTTAAGTTATAGGTACAAAACGAGGGAAACAAATTCCCTTAAGATCTGCATCTACTAGACTTCTCAAAGCATAAGGAATACTTTCATAGCATACAAAAATAACGTCTTGTTGAGCACCCAGTTTTGCCAATCTGTCAGCACACTGGTTTGCTTCTCGATAAGCATGTCTAAGTATGACTTTCGGCAGGGCAGAGATCAGGAACCTGCAATCAGAGATAATTGAAGCATACTCATGAGTTGAGGTATCTGCCGATTTAAGCAAGTCTAGAGCAGTTTTAGCATCAACTTCTAATTCAACATTTTGCAAGTTTAGAGAGGAAGCTAAGGATAGTCCATCCCTTATCCCCCACAACTCAGCAAGAATATTGGTAGCATGTCCCAATTTTCTGCTAAACCCAGCTATCCAGTGTCCTAGGTGATTTCTGATCAAGCCACCTGATCCAGCTGGACCCGAATTCCCTATGGAAGATCCATCAGTGTTGATTTTGAAACAGGAAGGTTCAGGGGGAATCCAGTTAATGAGCACTTCTGTTCTAGGATGTACTATGTTCTGAATAGATCCTAAAAAGGAGTATTCAGCCACCATTGCTAGAGTATTGTGTAGAATGGAGAAGAGATTAGATGGTTCAAAAATAGCCTTGTTTCTGGCAATCCAAAGATTCCAGCAGGCAAAAGAGATAACAGTACCCCAGGGGATTCCATAAAATGGAGAAATATGCTTGGACAGACAACCATTTTTAAGCCAAACTGTAAAATCCAGATCAAAGGAAGTGGGAATGTTGAGGCTTTGCCAAAAGGAGGAAGCATGTGGGCAATATCTAAGAACATGAGCTGAGTCTTCACAGGAATGGTTGCAGCGAGGGCAAAAAGAGTCAGAAGTGATATTTCTCTTGAGGAGAAGTGCCTTAGAAGGCAGTCTATTTTGGCAAGTTAGCCAAAGGAAATGTTTAACCTTGGACTTTGTTTTGACCTTCCAAACCCAAGACCATAGTTCAAAATCCCCTTGAGGGGGCTTTTTCTTTAGATCCTGCTCCAAAATAAGAAGGGCAGATTTGGCAGAGAAAGATCCATTTGGGTTGGTTTTCCATCTTAGAGTATCAGATTGATTACTCATTAACTGCCTTGGGATGCTTTGAATGAATCTGCAAATATTGCCCGGGAGTTCAAAAGAGAGAGAAGAAAAATCCCAAGCATCAAAGTCTCCAAAAATTTGCTTGATTTTCATTTTGGTTTCTGCTTGGGTGAGTGGCCCAGAGATCATTGATCTAAGGGGGCCTCTACCGGTCCAGTCATCCCACCATAGAAGAATTTCCTCCCCATTTCTGACATTCCACATGATGCCTTGGTTAAACAACTCTAATCCCTTCTGCAAGGATTTTTTATTGATGGATCCATTTCCTCTTTTCAAAGTGAGGTTATGGCTGGAGGTAGTACTATTGTTGTCAATGTAACAATGTTGTAAAATCTGAGACCAAAGGCTTTTAGGTTCCTTGACTAGTCTCCAACAAAGTCCAGCAAGGAGCACAGTGTTGTTATCAGAAGCCTTTCTGAGTCCTAGGCCACCCAAAGCTTTAGGTTTGCACACAGAATCCCAATTTACTAAATGAAGTTTTTTCTTCTCATCAGTGGTGCCCCAGAGGAAATTTCTTTGGATTTTATCAAGCTCATTACACAATGAGGCAGGTAAGGGAGCTGCTTGACTATAATATATAGGCAAGGCTGCTGCAACTTGTTGGATAATAGTTTTTCTTCCAGCAAAAGAAATTAAATTTGCCTTCCAACCAGCCAGCTTTTTCTGCATCTTTTCCAAAATGAATTTGTAGGAGTTTTTCGAGATTCTACTATGTGAAATGGGAAACCCCAAGTATTTGCCAAAATCATCAGTTTCAAAAATGTTGAGGGTGGCAGAAATTTCATCTCTAGTAACAGAGGGGCATTGGAAGAGAAAAAGATATGAGATTTGAGGGGATTTATCTTAAGACCTGATTTTGCACTAAAATGGTCTAAGACCTCTTTTATGGTGGTGATGGAGCTCAAATCACAGCTACTGAACAAGATGACATCATCTGCGAAGAGACAGTGCGTCATTTCGGGCCCTTCCCTTCCAAATTTTATAGGTACCCAACTCCCTTGATTGCATTTTTCTGTGATGAAGATAGAAAGGTACTCCATGCAGAGTAAGAAAATATAGGGGGACAAGGGGTCCCCCTGTCTAATTCCTCTAGAAGGCAAGATCCAATCAGTTGGCACCCCATTATGCAAAATTGCCAATCTAGAGGTGGTAATGCAGTGCATGATCAGGTTTATTAAATCATGAGGGAAACCAAAGAGGGTAAGGACTTCTTTGATGAAGCTCCATTCAAGTTTATCAAAGGCTTTTTCAAGATCCAGCTTTAAAGCACAGAAGCTTTTTTTGCCTTTTCTTTTTATCCTGAGCTTATGGATAGCCTCTTGAACAATAATGACGTTATCTGAAGCTCTTCTACCAGGAATGAAGCTGGCTTGGTAGGGGGAAATAAGGGAGTTCATTAGAGGTCTAATCCTGTTCACCAGAATTTTTGTTAAAATCTTGAAAGAGGAGTTACAGAGGCTAATAGGCCTGTATTGGTTGATGCTTACAGGGAAATCACATTTAGGAATGAGGCAGATGAAAGTATCATTAATTCCAACAGGAAAGTGGTGTCCCTGGAAGGAGTCAAGAATGAATTTTTGGATGGGGTTCTTGGCTTCAGACCAGAATTTTTGATAAAAGAAAGGGTGGAGCCCATCCGGACCTGGGCTTTTGAAAGGCTTGAAACTAAAGACAGCTTTTTTGATTTCCCTTTCAGAAGGAAGAGCTAGAAGAGTGGGTAAGGCATCTGCTGGAACTTTTGGGGTGCTACTGGGGGAGGATTGAGGAGACAAATAGGAATAGGAAAAATCTGTGGTGAAGACATTGTTGAAGTGGTTTGTGATAAGCATCTTAAGGCTGCGATCATCAGAGGTCCAATCGCCAACAGTATTTTTCAGCCCCAAGATTTTATTAGCTCTTCTCCTACAAATGGTGGTAGTTTGTAGAAACTTAGAGTTCAAATCATCCCAAAGGGCAGCATCGGTTCAAGACTTTAAAGCCCACAAGTCTTTTTCCTGGCTTAAAATAGATTTAAATTGGGCTTGAAGCTCATTTTCCAGGCAAAGCAGAAAGTTAGAATGTCTAATTTGGAGAGCTTTTTGGATTCCTGAAATTCTGGCTAGAAGCCTTTTTTTCTCTTTGAAAATGTTGGGGAATGACACTTTGCTCCAAACTTTTAATTTCTCTTGGAAAGGGGGAATAATGGCATGAAGAGAGTCAGTTGAGTTTGTCCAGAAAGAGAGAACAATGTCCTCCAAGGTGGGGTTAGAAAACCAGAATTTTTCAAATCTAAAAGGTCTCAGATTTCGAGGAGGGGTAGCATTGTGCAGATTAACAAGGATAGGACAGTGGTCAGAACGTGTTCTAACCAGATGGTAAACAGAGGTTTCAGGGTAAAGGGTTCTCCACTCCGTGTTACAAAGGCCCTATCAATTCTTTCATAAATTAAACCCCCATCATATCTTTTGTTAAGCCAAGTGAACTTAGCCCCAACAAAGCCCAAGTCCATGAGGCCACAGCTGTTGATGCAGTCTCTAAACAGAGAGATTTTTTTTGAATTAACCCCTTTTCCCCCAAATTTTTCAGAAGAGTTTAGGACTTCGTTGAAGTCCCCAATACAGAGCCAAGGAAAGGAAAAAGTACTAGCAACAGAGCATAGGTTGTTCCACAATATTTTTCTACATTCAAGATTAGGACTAGCATATATTGCACTTAAAAGCCAGGAGGGGGAAGAGGGCAGTACCTTGACTAGAGCATGGATTTCCTGCTCAGTCTTTTGAAGGATATCCAAGTGCACTTCATGGTCATCCCACAAGATCCATATTCCGCCCTTAAAACCTATAGCGTCCATGATGGAAAATCTGGTGTAGGGAAGGCTTTTACACATGTTTGGTGGCAACGTCACCAGAAACTTTTGTCTCCGTGATAATCACTATGCTGGGTTTGTGAATGTCTAGTTGTTGCATAAGATGACTTCTAAAGGCGGAGCTACCTGCCCCCCTTACATTCCACATGAGAATCTTCATGGGATTATAGGAGTTGTTTTGATAACTGCACTGGGCCAACCACCGTGGCCTTTCCTGGTCTATGTTTAGACCATTCTTCCAACCCTGAGATTTTACTTGTTTTGGATAAAGTTCTACTAGAAACTCTTTGCAGTCTGCCCCTGGGATGTCGAAGGCTAAAAGAGCTAGTTTTACTCCCAGAATATCTGGGATTGGTAGAAAGATGACCCCTTCTTCTTCTAGAGTACCCAGCCTTAAGCTTAAGGGGTTCAAAGTCAGAGTTTCTATCCTCCAAACCATGTTTCCAAGGGCCTTTGAATCTGGTTTTGGGTTTGAGCCCATGGCTTCCCCTGCATGATTGTTGGATGTGGTCATCACTTTCATATCCTTCCAGAAGGAATAGGTTTCCTGCGAGATGTGTTTGACTGCTCTCATGTAATTCTCCCTCCTCAAGCTGCGAACTTGTTGGTACGGATCCGCAGTCATGGTTACCGCTATGTTTGGCCCTGCAGTCCAAAAGTGGACCAATCCCAGCGTGATCTCTGAGTTTTGTTTGCTTTTCAGAAGGAACTCCGGGACTTTGGGCTCCATCATAGGAAAGGAGCTCTGGAGGGTCCAATTTTCCTCTTGACAGAGAGGTTGAGCAAAGTTCCCTCGAGGAGGAGAAAGGTGAGGCAGCTGAGCTGGGTTCTGGGGCTGGGGTTGTTGATGTGGCCTTTGAGGAAGCATTTGTCGGGGATTTCTTCTTGTACGGCGAAAGGCAGGTTGATTGTTGGGGATGAAGGGCAATTTTGGGGTGCTTGTGGTGCTGTTGTGGGTCGGTTGCAGGGTGGTGTTGGGGCTGAGTGTTGGTTGGGAGGTCTCTCCCTTGGAGGTCTCCCCCTCAGACCGTACGAGAGAAGGTACGGATGGAAATGGTGGGAGGTTGACATTTGGTCGTTGGGGTTGATGGTTACTAGTCTGGAACGAAGTAGTCTTTGGATTAGCAGTGGTGGAGGCGCTAGAAACAATGGTAGATTGGTTTGGTAAGGCTGAAGTCAAAGGGGGGGGTTGGGTGGTCCTGCGGTAAGTATGCAGAGTGAGTTCTTTTGCTGGGCTCTTTGGAGACAGGGGAGGCAGGGATCTGCCAAGTGAGCCAGAAAGCTTGGTACGCAGGACCCACTCTCTTTTGGCTAAACCGTTAGGTTGGCCATTTGAATTTTTAACCCCAAACGTACGGCCCAAGTTTGAAAATTTTTTGTACTTTGGCCTCCTCAGTTGAACTTGCATCCAGGGGCCGTACTCCGAATCCGTCTCGAGCTTGGAGCCTTCATCCGTGGAATTTTGATGATTTTGTAGGGGATATTCACTAGGAATATTCTTAGCAAGGTCCTCATCGGAGGATTGCTGCTTCATAGTGTTGACGCACTGATCAATTGTATGCCCAACCAAACCACATCCAAAGCAAAAGGTGATCCCTTCATATTGTACAGGTTGGTTGAAGGACCCCAAAGAGATGAATTGAGCTACGGGTTTGCTTATGTCCATTTGGACACAAATTCTAGCAAATCGTCCTCTCTCTGTAGAAGCAGTTTTGGCATCCACCTTTAGCAGTTTGCCAATCTGGTTGCCAATTTTCATGAGTATCTGCAGATCATAGTATTCGATGGGGAGGTGGGGGAGCCTAACCCAGACTGCTGCAGAAGAGGTTTTAGCTTCTTCTGGGTTAAAGTTTGGTTCCCAGAGGCGGATGGTGAGAAAGAAGCTATTGATAAACCAAGGACCTCCCGTTAGAACTCTGCAAAAGTCAGAGTGGTCTGAAAATCTGGTGATGAAAAAATCCCTACCCAAGTCAATGATCTCTAGATGTCCCTGGGGCTTCCAAATTTCACGGATTTTCTGATTAAAAAATTTGAAACCAAGAGATCTGCCAAAAGTTTTTACAATCAAAGCCTGTTTCCAAGGATCTCTGATTCTTTGGAAATCTGCCTCCGTAAGAGAATTTGAAGAATGAACTGCAGAGGTAGCCTGCCCATTGAAGTTAGGGGAGAATTCAATTCTCAAATTTTCAGGTAGAGGTCTGGAATCTTGATTTAGTGCGTCTTTGTAAGAGAGGCCAGGCCTACATGGAGAAGCACGAGGGATTTCAGCAGCCTCACACAATGATTTTGAAATGTTTTCCTGTGGGGGGTTGAGGGTAAGCAGTCACTGGAGGTTTTTTTAAGAGTAGGGGAAGTGGAAGGTCTGGAGCTTTGAAAAATGGAGACTGGGATACATGTCGGCGGTGAATGGGTTTGCATGTTGGCCGGCGGTGGCTATTCACCGCCGGGAGAGAGAGGGAGAGAGGTTCCTGCAATGCTGTGATCCTCCTTCCTCACCGGTAAACCATAAGCTACCTCTCCAGAATCTGGTTCGGTTCAGAGGTCAGCTGCTTTTTACTCACACATTAGTTTTAGTTTGATTGAACATTTTACATCCTTCTCACAAATGAAAAATGTACACGTTTAGTCCCTAGACTTAATTTTACTCAAGTTTTTGTTGGGAACAAAAACTTGTGCGTACCTCATGCCTCACCAACTTTAAAGACAAAATCAAAAGATTGCAAGGAACGAAGGAAAAACGTACCTCGTATTTTTTCTTCTTCAGCCTATTTTTCCTAACTAAGAAAAGGACAGCAACTATAGCTGCCTTCGACCTTGTTGACGGCGTTGTAGTTGGTTGCCACTACTTTCTGTCACAAAATCACAAGAAAAATTCAACTTTCCTCGCAGTTTTTCACGTAGAATTTGATTTTGATATTAGTTTTTGCAGAAAATAATAATAATAATAATAAAAGTGGGTGAAAAGTTGGGAAAAAAATGGTGACTTTCATCCATTTAATCCCGAAAATTTTTAACCTTTCGGGGTCTGATATAGCAACTTTCCTCATGAAAAGGAGGAAAACACCGTCCATTCGAAATAGCCGGCAGAAATTTTGGTACCGGCCCAACAACGAATTGGGCTCCATGTATCAATCACCCCATATTGTTCGGTCTCATTCCTATAGGCCCAACAGTAGAAATTTTGCTACCGGTCCAACAATGAATTGGGCTCCATGTATCAATCACCCCACATTGTTGGGTCTCATTCAGATAATGATTCAGAGCAAATGTTACGATTATAAACTCGAGTCCAAAGATTATGCACATTAATTACATAAAATTTGCTTGCAGAAGAAGAAGGGAAAAGGAGAAAAAAAAAACTTACATTTGACAAGATTGCTCATTGAAATAAAATGATAAGCTTTTGATGGAGTGTTCCGGTACCCAGTCTGGATTATCGCCTGACATTTTTATCAGCCAGCAGTCTTAATTAGTTGCCACTGTTAGGATTCAGGGAGAAATGTAAGTGCTGCATCGGGTTTTTTAACTCCTGGCCTTTGAAGATCCTAGGAACAAAAATATACCTGGCGTCGACGGCAGGGTTCAAGCCTCGACGTCATCTTTTTCAAGCCTGTCTCCTTATCCACTCGGACACATCGACCTGAACTGCATCATCATCTTCTTCAGCATTTGCTGTAAAAGATTGGAACGTTATGCTCTATAGTAAAGATTGGAAAGTTTGTCAAAATAGCAGAAATGACCCGCCCGCCTGCAACGGCTGTTTCTACTTTCTATATATATAGAGATTGGAACGTCATATTATATACTACTGTATTGGATTTGCAAATTTCAATCCAAAGTCAGCATTATGACTTACTTCTGAACGCGTTAAGACACAAACCAGGATAATGGTTGGACTGCAACGAGTTGATTCGCTGTTGAAACACATCTATCAATTGTGGAGACCTCCCTGATGTAATTGACGAGTTGATTTATTGCCTAAATATATACTATTTGTGAAGCCCTCATTAATGTAATTGACGGTTAATGTGATTGGTCAAAAAGAATCAAGTCAACTGGACTGGAGTATTAAACAAATCAATCTGAACCGTCGTGATTTTCAAAAAAAAAAAATCTTGTTTCTGTAGAGCTACCCACGAAAGGCCGGCTGTCTGTTTGCTAATCATACTGTGGATGTTGCGTGGTATTTGGCCATTGTCCCAACTCCACGCCACTTGACTAAGGAGGCTGTTTTTCACAAGTTTCCACGATGGAAAAGTACGCATGTGCCGTATCAGTATTGTAGACAGACTTGACAATTATTGCCATCTCGTCCAATTAAGCCAACAGACTGAGAGTGCAAGTCCTTCAAGTCTAATCAACAGCAAGGATCAGCATAAACGAGTTTGTGAAAAAAAAAAAGAAAAACTTGTAAAGGTATCAATCAACTGGTATACAAAGTTCCTTGCCGGAGACTACAAGATAAAGGTGGGATTGATATCACCTTTTTCCGGACAAAATTAACAATTTGTTTGAATTGTTATTTTCTTCAAGAAAAATTTTATATTTTTCGTGAATAAATTTTTCAATCGTCTTTTTATTTCATATACAGCAAATCTTTACAGTATATTTTTTCTTTTAATAAAAACTCCATACAATAGCATGCTCTTAACATTTTGCAGAAAACAGATGAGTGTACGCCTAAGTAAGATATTACATTTGAAGTTGTTAAAATCAATAATGTGTCCCATCCCCATTAAAATTTGGTGTTTTACAATTTACACAGAGACCGTAGTCCGTACATCATAAAATGGAAGAACCCCTGTATTTGTATTCACAGATGAAAGAAAATCCCCTGGCAAATGCCCCAATCATCGTGTGGATAAGCACGAAGTACAGTCCAATGGATAGAGACTGGATGCCTGCATCTAAAACAGGATTAAGACTGCGTCTGTTTTGCCGTAAAGAAAGAACGTACAGGAGTTCCAATATCTGATGGGAAAATGCCAAGAAAATGGTACATATGCAATTTGATGCTGGAAGAGTCATTTTGTTCTCTTGTGTAACGTATTGCGGGCTACCATTTGATTTGACACCAAAAAAAAATTTATTATTATTTTTTTTTTTTTTTGAAAAAAAGGCTCAATCCAAACGGACCAGTGGCCCCTGAAATCTGAAACATGAATTGTCGCTTCAATGTTCTCTCCATCAAAAACTCGTAAGAGTGTGCGTCTCATTGCCAGGCTCCCCACAATCTTGGAAGGATCTAAGCTTCTTCAGTCTCAAATCCGTCCCTCCCATTGCCATCAATACTCTATTTTTGGACTGATGATTAGAGGATAATGATGCAGATTACAAATGAATCAATGCTGCAAACGTGAAAGAAATTGAGCATAAGCTCGAGCGCTTCTACTTCTGGATGCTCCTCGCACTGCTCATTTCTACTTCTGGATGGTTTGCTTGCATCATCAATACCACCTTTTTATCTCACATGTATCATATTGAGTTTGTTTGGATAGAGAGAATTTGGTTTGCAAAATTTATTCTCACAAATCCCAATCACCTTTTTATCTTCCCAATCACCTTTTTATCTCACATACATCACATCACAAAAAGTGCTACAGTAAATATCTCAAATAAATCATCCAAATTCTCTCTATCCAAACAAACTCATTTAAAAAGTGCTACAGTATTTTTTCACAAAATTATTTCAAATAATTTACAATCCAATCACACTCAAAGCTATTATCGAGACAATCTCATCGGACTAATTTATTATTATCAGTTATTCAGAATGTAAATCATCCGCAGTATTCTTATCTCAAATTTCACATCAAGTCTCTCTTTACCCGGTATTTTATTCAAGAATAAAACTGTATCTTTGGAGTTGTCCTCTTATTTTATGTCCACGGTCAATTTCAAAATAAACACGAATCTTTTTACCACATGTTGTCGTGGCAACGTGGTGCACATTGGCACTTGCTTTGCTGGCTTTGTGAAGGGGGAGTGTGCATTTATTTGCTTGTGATGATAATAAAATTAACGGAACATTATTGAAAGAGACGTATAATGACAAACTTGCTTAATATGTACTAATTCAATTGAAAGAGACGTATAATGACATTATAATGCAAGTTTGTCAGACGGGTATCAATAAACATTTTGTTCGTTAATTGTTTTTACGAGAATGAAATTAGTTTGAAAAAAAGTATTAAAACATACAGGAATAATAAATATTAGTGCATGCACTTAAATGATAAATTAAGTGATGGAGACAAATGGAGAAAGTTTTGAATTGCACAGGAAAAAACTAGCTAACAGCTCAATAATTAGCTGGATTATGGATATCTTCAGAATTAGCCACTTGCCCTGTCAGTAATATGTCGATCAAGACAAATTTTACATAGAAAATGAAGGTGATTGCTTTCAGATTTTGTCTGGAAGGTCGGCATTTATTATTGGGTTTTTTCATTAGATTCGCTGACAGACAAGAATTCTATTTAACTAATCATCTATATATACATACTAATAATTATTATCTTCAATTTTCTTAATTAATGTTACCTTTCCAAAAAATCTAACACCTGGAAGCCCAACCTCCCCCCCCCCCCCTCCTCCTCGAAATTGGCAAACACTTGAGTAGACCCGTAGACTCAATACTCAATGTATGTAGATCTTGTGAGTTTTCCCTCTCAAAATTGACAAACACTTGGATAGATTTAGACACAGGGAATTTCAAAATTTGGATCACTAGATTTATAAGACCAAGTGTAACCATATATGGCTCCGTTTGGTACTAGAATTTCAAGCCAAATTTGAGTTTGTTTGGCTCCAAACAATTTTTTATACCATTTTGCCGAAACAATTGGCTGCCTTTTATGCAATGGTATAAGAACTTTTCATTTGTGTACTACCTACACATTCATACAGGCATTATTGGAAAGGAAGTTTACTACGTATATATTTACTTCTTAAAGAACCCCAAGATCTTTAAATACGTATATTGCGTCGCAGGTTATGTGGACAAGATATGAAATTATCTATTGTATTTGATTCTGACGGAGATTTCTCAAATTTGACTAGCTCCGGTCTTCAATTTCGCAGGAGAAAGATAGAGATTTGGAGAGGTACTTTAAAATAACAACGCGGAGCTCATAATTGGAGGAAAGTTTGGCGGGGAAAGCTTTTTGTTCTTTTGTAGGGATAATTTCAGAAACCTCCTTTGAGGTTAGGTTTCTGATTATTTCACTGGTCTCCCTTCAAATTTTAAAATTTACACTAACCTCTTTTAAAGTTAATTATCTTATAATATTTAGATCCAGTCAATAATAAAATTGTGATATTATGAGAGAGAATATAACATGGTCCACTATTACCCCTTATTTATTATATTATTTAACGAATTTAAAACCAATCCATACATCAAAGAAAAATACTAAAATTTCTATTTATTATCATAGATCAAATTACATATGGCATCAAAAAAATAGCATATTATTCTATATTATTCACTTAAAGTAAGATCCAAAGTTACATACTCATTGTCAAACATAATCAATAACAAATAATATTTAGATCCAGTCGATAATAAAAATGTGATATTAGGAGAGAGAATATAACATGGTTCCACTATTACCCCTCATTTATTATATTATTTAATGAATTTAAAACCAATCCATACATTAAAGAAAAATACTAAAATTTCTATTTATTATCATAGATCAAATTACATATAGCATCAAAAAATAACATGTTATTCTATATTATTCACTTAAAGTAAGATCCAAAGTTACATACTCATTGTCAAACATAATCAATAACAAATAATCAAAAAAATTTGCAATCGAAACATTATAGATAACAAACATTAACATCATAAATATTCTTATCAACATATTAAAGTTAGTTGTTTAACTAAAAAGAATAATTTGAATCTTATATTAAGTGAAATATATAGGATGATAAATTATTTTTTAATACTATATGTGATTTGATCTTTAATGATAAACATTAAATTATAATGTTTCTCTTTAATGTGTGGATTGTTATTAGATCAACTCAATGATATAGTAGTTGATGGGCAACGAAGGAATCACGTTATCTTCTCTTTTCTAATATCACTTTTAATTACTAATTGAAACTAGATGTTATGAGATAATAAATCTTTATGGAGGTTAGTATAATTTTTGAAACTTAAAAGGCAAGTGAAATAGTTAGAAATCTCTCTGAAATTATACCTCTTTTGTATGAATGAACATAGCTTGGTAGGTTATATTTCTAAGGATTACACGAGCTAAAATTTTTATATGTTGTTAATGTATAATTTTTTTACACTAACATATTTAAATAATGTTATATAATATGATTTAAAATTTAAAATTCAAATCATGCATATATAATATACATTTTATAGTTATTAGTGTAAAGAATCACTACACTGTCCGTTGATAAAAGGTTAATCCTTTGCATTGATCGCATCAAAGGAACCATTTTGAACAGAATAATTTGTTCTAAACAAATTTGTTATAGTACGCAAGTATAAGGGTGGACTATGGCTGCTGTCATATAATTTGGGTAAACGTGTCATTGGTTCCAATCATGTAGGAAGACCAAGGTTAACGCGGAGCTTTGACTCTTGCTGTTGACGCCAGCGTTGTTTCGAGTTCCTAGTTACTACTATTTTTATTCTTTTTCTGAGGTACTCGCTCTATTTCAATTATTTAGTTATGTTTCAAGAATCAAAATTTTAAAAATAGAGATTTGATTGTGATGTTTATACTTTTCTTTTTAATTTTATTTCCATAAATTCAAATTTTAAATTTGAATGTTAACATGCATATGATTAGAAAAAATAACTATATTTAAAATATAGAATAAAAAATGCTTTAACTTTTTTAATATGAAAAATATTTTGGTACATCAAAAAATAAAAAAGTATGATACTTTCAATGGAATAAAGAGAGTATAACAATTCTTTTGATACATATGCAACAATCTAATTTTTTTTTTGGGCCTTGTTTAAAGGCGCAAAAAAAAGGGTGTCACTGCAAACTTGAAGGATCCCGTCAAGCAACAAATGAAGTAAAAGCCTATGTGGTATATA